CCTCTTCGAGTAATTTACAAATGGATGTTTTGTCTCATTGATTGAAAAGTCTTAAGAGAGCATAAAACGTTCTCGAATATATGCCACGTGGCACATTTACTAAATAATATTTATTTACTTGCTTTATATTATCAGAATTATTTTTAACCCCCCCCCCGACTAAATTGAGACTCCTTTCTCGCAGCTCTTTATTGGAACGATAAAATATATATAATTTCGTTTTGAAATTACTCGTCGGTTTATATGCTTGAGTATTTGTTGAACTATTGAATGCACAGAAAAACAAACATGTTTCAGATAATACGTAATTATTACAAAACAAGGTTCCGTCACAACAAATTCATAGTCTGTGGTCGCATAGCACAATGCTGTTTCATTTTCAATGGAGGACAATTCAATATAATACCCACCCTCACACACACACACACACACACATCCTACTTGACTGTGCAAATTTAACTTCAGTGGAGAAGACATAATATACTTTTTCTATTTTAGTAATGTAACAATTACAATGTTTCGTTAGGAACGTCTTTTTGACTATTAATTAGACATAAATTGGTATTTCTAAGGTTAAGATACTTGTGTTAAAGGACGAAGTAAACAAAACTGTGTTTGTCATAATCACTAAGAGATGATTTATTTTCACATCAAATATTCATCTAATATTAACTTGAGAATGACAAGATACGTCCGAGGACTAACCCGAGGTCGGACGTTAATTCCCTTTCATAAGAGCATTATAAGGATTAATTTTTCAGGGCACATCAACTGATATGGCCATTGGTCCGGTTAGTATAATGAATGTCTTTTCGTGGGAGGTAGCGGTGTTCTCCCGCTGAATGGTGAGATTCGACGCCGACCCACTCCTGTGCTTTCGGAGGGTTTACCCGTTCCGTTATCAAACGCCAGCGGAGCACCGCACATACCGGAACAAGTTCTAAGCTCTCGGCGTTGTTTTAGAGGAATGTGTGTGTGGGAGGGGAAGATAAGACAAGAAAGAGGTAGGAAAAATCGCGTGCGATCCTTAGACTGTTTGCAAGGGTAATGCACCGGCATTCGTCTAGAATTGTTCGGAGAAACCACGTTAAACTATTGGACAGAAAAACCAGCCGCTAGAATTTTTCTTCAGACAGCGGATGAAATCGACCCAGAGATACAGCTTTTGCCGAAAATCCGTCACACCGTCATTTCTCAGATTCTAGAATCTCCCGGTCCTATTCTCTGCCGGCAGAGCTGACTCTCAGCTTAATTCAGTCGTCGCAAGCATGCGGTCCATAATTCCTGTATTATATCACACCTCGCAGAGTAGATACATAACAGTTGAAAAAAGGCACCTTTATCGTCACAAGTAATGACTCATTTAGAACCAAAAATGACATATTTGTTCTAAAAAATTATGAACGACTTACTACGCCTTGATTTTCTTATCACTTTATAATTATTAATCTATCTTTAATTGAAATTAATTAATGTACTTTCCTTTGATCGAATTGACACACAAAGAAATTCCATTTTCATTAATGTTTACGGGTATAGTATTTTGCCACTTATTTACATACTAGTGGAGTTCTTCGCTATCGCGTATTACACACTACTGGCCACGTGATTGTTAATCACGTTTTACAAGCTGTACAAAATTGTGATAGATGAAAGACTTCATCACGAGTATGGGTTTGGACATAGTTGTCAAGTATCCTATTGTTAAAACGTCATGTTTTCATCATGACACTATCTTGAATAAATTTGTTTTACTTGTTCAAAATTCAAGTAGTAATTCCGGCTGATATTTCCCAATCGCTAGGGCAGAAAACTTGTATGCAATGGTGGCTAAACCCTAGACCTTAATCCTTGACTGTGTGGCGGGTTGCATTTAGTTCACGGGCTTTTGAGTCGTTATAAACGAATAAATCATCAACAACGTCCCCACATAACCTATTTAATCCACACCACTCTTTAAACACTCACTTTACTGGGATACTGGGATAGTTCAAAACCACCTCCCATCATCCTGTCACTTAATAATTCGTCATTCATGACTTAACAACCTCTTACGAAGGGATACAGCCGAAAAGCTGATCCCCATACTGACACGTTAAAATCTCTCCAGGATTGAGTACGACTGGGCCTCGTAAGAAAACGTGTAGCGTCAGATATGGCCTGTACGCTAATAATAAAAATAGTAATAATAATAATAATAATAATAATAATAATAATAATAATAATAATAATAATAATAATAATGAGTAATAGAGTAGGGTGAGATACGGGCCATCAAGTCGGCATTTCCGCCTAGAATATAAGGCAAAAAGAAAGGTAACGAAACCTCTATATATTGTACTATTTTTTACGTGATGGCAATATTCATATCGATTATGCAATGATATCAATTTATGACGTATAAAGGCTTAATCGCCGTCCGATGCATTAGACAGATATAACAAATGATGAGTCATCATCTCCACTCCTTTGTTATATGTTACCATTCTTGAGGTGAAACAACTTTCTCCACATAACTATAAAACAGCGTATGTTGAGTGTACGCTTTGTTAGAGTGTTAAATTACCAGTTCACATGTCAATTATACTAGAAAGTGATCGTAACTTGTAGCACTCTTAGGGTGAGATTGTTGCGGATATGACTAGGAACTTAAGCGAAATAATATTCTACGAATTACTTCAAAATTCTACATTGTAATTTTTAAAATATATAACAGGTCATTTAAATATTAACTGCTGAATACAATTTTTAAAATACTAACTCTCTGTGACTTTTTATACAAAGCACAAGGCATTGGGAAGTAAAAGAATGATGAGTAAAACACGGTGAGGAAAATATATAAATAGAATGAAACCAAAATAAAATAATATCTGCATTTTCATATCTATGGATTTCCACAAAGAAAAAATTGAACTTTCTTATGTTAGTATTCGTAATACTTTTAAATACAAACGTTGTAGTCCTCTCAAAGTCGATTACCATCACTCGTTCAAGCGAGCGCTAAATTGCGGGGCGTTTTCACTTCCTTCCCAGTGTCATGGCTGAGATAGCGAAATGCATCAACTTACCATGATGGGAAGGGATTCTGGAACTCAAGAAAACGTGCGCAGATTATTATCTTCTCTCTTATTCGTCACATACAGTTTTTACTGTTTTTTTTGACTAAATAAATCTAAAAATAAATTTACTACTGTAGTGAACCTGACCGGGAGGTCCTAGGGATTGAGTCCCGACGGTAGGGGATTTTCGATATGAGCTGAGTAACTAGGTCGATATCAGCCGCTGTCTGTAGGAGAATGCTAGCAGTCGGCTGGTCTGATCGGTAGTTTTCGCGATTTCTTTCATCACCCAGGCGAATGCAGGACCAGTACTTTCCCTCTTGACATACAAACTAACACTTGCATGCACAGAACCGCTTAGCACAAATGGCGGGAGACCAGTCAAGTTGTCATCGCTGAGGCGATGCCCCGCTGGTGGAGGTAGTTGAAGGAATTGATTAATGTTTCCGGGCACGTTAACTGCTTTCATTGTCAATCCCGTTATTGGATTGAATGCTCCTTGAGACGGCGGTGTTCCTCCCCATCTGTAGGGTGAGAACCGGCGTCGACCTACACGCGACGGATCTCACTTTCCAGTTGAGAGAAACAATGCCACCTCTAGGAATATAACTAGACCTCAGATTTTTTAACAAATGCCTATTTAGTTCCTTTAGAAGGTTGTGGACAATAATTGCAGATGTTTACGAATCGTGGAAAAATAGATCTACTGTAAGCATCTAATAAACGCCTAAAATGTCCTAAAGGGGCTGTTGATGCCTATTTTATATTTTTATTAAAACTACCTAAAGCAAGTTATTGTAAAGGATTATCATATTTTAATTACTCATTTTTTTAAATTCGTTATACCGAAATCATTATACCAAATACTTTCCAAAATTTCCCAAAACGTGAATATTCACTGATCGAATACCCAATCGCTCACGTACCAAAATCTCTCATCCAACATACCGAACATAAAGAGATTTTCAATACAAAGAAGATGTTTCACGCTTGTTTCCGATAAGAACGCACTTCTGAGGCAACTGCACCCATTCCCGGGACAGGTGTGCTGTTGACAAGTTGAGAATGAATAGTGTGCAACAATGAATATAATGAGAAGAGTGAAAGTGAATAAAATTATATGCTTGTAGTCAGTCTTATAAATATAAAATACTTGAAGTTCCTGAATAATAAAAATTTTCTAATTTAATCACTTTGTGTTCAGTTTTAGATGCCAGAAACATAACTTTTCATGTCCAATGTTTTTAGTTGCTTGATTTAATAACTTCGTCACCACTTTTAAGTGCCTAAAACGTCACTTTTCATAATCTTAGTGCCTAATTTCATAATTTTTGCCTATTTTAAGTGCCTAAATCATCACTTTCTTGTGCCTAAAATTCCCACCTACGAAACTAAGAACCACATCAATAAACGAACCGAGAAAAATAGGCAATCAATCAATATCATTGGCCACAGAGAAAGTATGTTTTAAATGGTGATTCGGCTATTAAAATTTCCAGAGATGGTTTGGAGGTGTTGTCTGTCATGTAGAAAATATCGAATCAATTCGGAGTGTTTATTGCGCTACTATCGCGAAGTGTTTATTATAATTCATGCAATCGACTGGAAATGATCGTATTTGTGCGCATGTATCTTAATCTTATGTCTCAACTTTCATACTTGGGTAGAGATTTCAACAGAAAAGAAAACGCATTATGAATCTGGAGTCTCACCAGACGAAGGAACTCTTTCCTTATTGAGAGCATTCAAGTGTCAGTGGGCGCTAAAACAGCCTTCGTCGGGAGTGAGTACACAGATCTTTGTCACCAAGGTGCGAGTTCAATGGCTTCTATTACATTTGGGGAGGATAACTGCACTTCAAATAAAATTAAACAATAGTACATCAAATAGTACATCAAATCCACTCACTAAACGTTTTTGCAGACTTTTTTATATTTTCAGAGAAACAAACACCAGATGAGTGCAGCAGGGCATTCCATTTGCTCGTTCGCACTCGCTCACGTGATTCATCTTCCAGCTCCGTACGTTGGAGAGTCCTGGGCTTATTCATAGGTCACAGCAATTGCCCTATGACGGTTTCGCTTCGCTATTTCAGGAAAGCGTATGGACATGTTATGTCCGATAGAGTTGCAGAACTATATACGTAAGCAGTAAACGTAAGGAGCCATTTACGCTAATATTCCATTTATTGTAATTAAAAGTAAGCAAAATGAATTTGTATGAAAATGTATTTAATTAATAACTGTTATAAAGATTTTTTTTAAATTATGGATCAGAATAATGTCACCAAATCTCGCCAAATCAACATTGCCCCTTTTTCTAAACAAATAAGATTTACCAGCTACACAAATTTCTTTCTCTAGCTGAATTTGTAGCAGGAACATAAATTCCGCCAGCCTAAGGTAAACTGCACTTTTCATTTTTGCTTTTTCACATCTACATAGCGGTGGTGTAATGGTTAGCGTATCGAACTGTTATACTCAAGTTCGCATTCAAACCCGATTAAAGCTGTCGATATTTAAGGGCGAAAATATCCTTCGTACGCCTTCCTTCGGAGGGGAAGTAAAGCCAGATATCCCATGTTAGTAAATTTACTGCATATAAAAGATCCTCAAGCCTAAATGAAGCCTCTGAACTAAATTCAAATCACCTGTTAAGTCGCCCGAGTGATACCTGCGTACGAAATTTGAATTAATGCCTTTTTACGTGGCGAGACTCAGGCCATGAAGCTTGGTCTTCCGTCTGACCACGCAAATTTCGCTACGCTCCTTTCACCAACAGAGAAAGGAGGCATTTCTTGGGGGGAGAAACAGGCTATTTGAATTTAGCTCAGAGGCGTCATTTACGCTTGAGGATCTTTTACATGCAACTAAATCTACTAACATGGGACAGCCGGCTTTACTTCCCCTCCGAAGAAAGGCGTACGAAGGATTTTTTCGCCCTTAAAAATCCACGGCTTCGAGAGGGTTCGAACCCGCCAACTTGGGTACAACAGTCCGATACGCTAACCGTTACACCATCGCCGCGCGCGTGCAGGCGTCAATTTGCCTGATCAGACGGAAAAGCGGGCCCTTTCGAGTCTCACAACGTAAAATAAGGCATTAATTTAATTCACATTCGTACTCCTAGTTTAGACGTTTCAACTCCTCTCTACTTTCTTCAAGTTTGTGTTCTACACTTGGAATCGTACCCCAACTGGCGAATTCAGAAGGAATCTGCGTCAAACGTTCGGTCTTCTCGGCAGAGCGCTTTCCGCTCCTAACGGCGAGGCCGGGCAAAACCTGCCATAATTGACTGCCATCTGGCGAATTTTATGTTAATTGCGTGGTGCTCGAGCGAAACCGTATCGTGCGGAACTACTAGACGTAATTGCGCATTCGTGTATGAAAAGATGGAACTATGGACTGCAATTGAGAATTTCTTCTCACAAAATTAATACTTTTTAAGAGAAAAAGTGCCATCGAGCCAACGGACGTACGGCAATTTGAATCTTGTGTTGTCAATATTGTGAAATGTTGGCCACTTCGCTGCCGGTGTATGCTGGTCATTTTGAAAAATTCCATTTCACTGCCTTTCAAATGGACAATCCTGTCACATGAGTAATATGGTTCATACCATTTGAAGGAACGATTAATGGAACGTACTTGATTTGTATAATAGTCGCTTACTTACACTTGACTTGTATAGTAGTCGGTTTGAAATAAATTATTATGTATGTTAACATAAGGTATAATAACTGTTAAAAGAGTCAAACGTGTCACGATAGCTTGTCGCTCTGTACTTTTGCAAGTGTACAATCTTTAATTATCATAGGTAATACCATGAGTGCTTTGGAAACTGTCGATAAATCCCCGACTTTCAAAGCGAGGAGGGTATTAATCTGAGAATTTCTGATGCACGAATGGTATTTAATAGGGCTATTCCACGAATGAAATTACTTCCAGCAGAGTTCAAAAATGCGCAAAACATTGTTTATAACTGAAAGCAATTTCAAATAACAAGCGATCCGATGGTCGAGATCGCTAAGGCAGTAGTACTGTAGCGATATCGGACCGAAGGGTCGCGGGTTCGGTTGGTTGTGTTGTGTTGTGTTCGTCCTTTCACCCCTCATTATCATCATCATCATCATCATCATCATCGTGTAATCCTTGCAGTTACCATACCGTTACGAGCAATAGTGGTCACTGATGACCTAGTAGTTGATGCGACCTTAAATAACAAAAAGGTTAAAATAAAATAGTTTATGTTGTAGTACATACACGGTTTATTGCACACCGACACAGCGATCGATTCATACCGCCTCCTCAGACGGATGAATCACAGTTTATGATTGGCCAGTAGGGCGAATCGGTACGAAAAATCGGATACTAAAAGCGGTAATTTTCTTAGATACAGCACCCTGATTAGGGCATTTTATATCTATAGTTAAACACTATTGGTTTTATTTTCACTTATGGAATAGATTAAACTTTTTGGGGGGGGGAACATTGTTCATGCGAGTGTTTAAATCAAAAGTTAAGGACATCATCTGACCAAAAATATGATTATCCCTCAAGTTAGATATAAACGTTACGTCCAAACAGTTGCCGTTGTGTTGCGAAAACACGTTAAGTCAGGTGAAGGGGAAGAAGTCCTGAACCTGTTGCTCTCCTATCTAGCCCCAATGGCGGCGACACTATACCGCTACACCAGGAGCAAGACGTACAAAATCAAGAGCGTTTTCAGAATAGTAACTTTTACAAATTTCTGAACAAACGACGAACTACGAAATCTACGAACAAACTGCAAATCTCCTCAGTGACCTCAATTTTAAGAGTTCTCGTTCGTTTCTTTATTTCTCAAAGGCAGATGTTATTTTCCGTGTTTCTTGCCCATAGTAGCAACCAGTTCTAATTATTATATTTTGTTCTCTTCCATACTTCCATACTGGATTTTTGGAATTCTAAAGAGCAATTTTGGTAACTCGAAGTATTAATAATAAGTTGATTTAATAATTTTTAACTTTTATTGCATTGGTAAATGGATTTGTTTGCTTTTTTTCGTGGAAGATTATATGATGGATACCACACGTTATGGAGTTTAAAATGTTATTACTAAAGAGTTATTCACAGAGATATGTAGTGCCGAACGTGTAGAAAATCGAAGTCTTTTCGCCCAGACGTGGTGAATGTTATTTAGAATCTTGATATGCCCCCATATTTTCGCAGGGTAGACGATATTTTCCTATAACTTGTCGATCTCTCCCCCTTTCACTCTCCTCTGCTTATTCGGTAACTTAGGGACTACTTCTCGAATTGCTCCACAAGTCATCGGGATAACTGCGGCGCACCGGGCCGCCCGCACAAGGGATGGGGCGGAAGTGGCCCTTGCGATTCCCAGAGCCTTTCGCCGACCACGACGCCCTGGATACCGCTCGTGGCCAGGACTCATGGAAATGCATATTACACTAACTACAAATATATTTCAGGAGCGAAATGTTTTGACTGTAGTATAATAAAAAAATTAAAAGACGAGTTTCAAGGACATAAAATGCGTTTGACATATAGATAAAAAAACTTTATGTAGAAACATACAAATAGAACGATAATTTTGAATATTGTTTTCATCTTCTATGAAGAGTGGTTTTAACTTTGGTGGTTCAAAAACATACGGAAAGATTCCATACTTAGTGATACACTGAAATTATATGAGAGTGGTTATTTCATTGCACGTACGTAAGTATTTTACAAGAAATAATTCACACTAGAAGAAAATTTGTTTAATTAGTTTGTGCATAACTTGGGGAGGTATGACTGCAATTAAAAATTATCCACTACACTTGAACGAAATGTACAATATCCGTTTTAGCATTATTTGAAGAGATTTGTATTTTTGAAAATGTGAACGAAAGTTGTCGGTTATATCGTAGTGCTTAAATATATAATAAAGAAAGTGATATATTAAAAGAAAATGAAGTGATGTGAATATAATTAATATAAAATTGTATTATGCTGTGAGAAAGGACGAGCTCTGTTACAGCACCAGCAGCTTTTTTGATATTTTAAAATACTTGAATTAATTGTAACCATACTGTCAAATTTCTCGGTAATTTAATTTAATACTCAAAGGATATTAAGTTTATATTTCAGCTTTAGTAATATGAGCTACACTTGGAATTATTCATTCTGTCATCTTTAAGAAAGAATGACTCATCTACATGCTTAACATGATACATTTAATCATCTAACCAAAGCTCATGTTCAAATTCTTCAAATTACTATCATAGTATTGAATAAAAATGATGAAAAAAGTAAAATCGTCCTTCCGTCCGTCTGTCCGTCCGTCTGTCCGTCCGTCTTTCCGTCCGTCTGTCCGTCCGTCCGTCCGTCCGTCCGTCTGTCCGTCTGTCCGTCTGTCCGTCCGTCTGTCCGTCCGTCTGTCCGTCCGTCTGTCCGTCTGTCTGTCCGTCTGTCTGTCCGTCTGTCTGTCCGTCTGCCTGACCGCCTGTCTCTGTCTGTCCGCTGTCTGTCTGTCCGTCTGGCTATCCGTGTCTGTCCGTCCGTCTGTCTGTCCGTGTGTCTGTCAGTCTGTTCGTCCGTCTGTCCGTGCAGCTGTCCGTCTGGCTGTCTGCTCCTCTTGCTGTTCGTCTGCCTATGCGTCTGTCTGTCCATATGACTGTCCGTCTGTCTGTCTGTCTGTCTGTCCATCTGACTGTCCGTCTATCTGTCTGTCTGGCTGTCTGTCTGTCTGTCTGTCTGTCTGGCTGGCTGGCTGGCTGGCTGGCTGGCTGGCTGGCTGGTTAGCTGTCCGGCTGACCGTCCGTCTGGCTGTCCGTCTGTCTTCCGTTTGCCCGTCAGTGTATCCGTGTGTCCGTCAGTGTATCCGTGTGTCCGTCCGTCCGTCTGTCTCCGCCAGCTTGCCTGTCTGTTTGTCCCTGTGTTTGTCTCTCTTTACGCCTCTGTATATCTTCATGTGCAATATGTTCACGGTCTGTTGAACTCTGCGATGTGTCTGAAGTCTTAAACATATAAAACTGAATTATGAATGAAGGGAAGCAACGAGCGTTTTGAGCAAGAACTGATATAGAAGTATTCGCTACCGTGTAATAATAATTATTTACAAAGGCTAATCAGTAACATATTTTGGCTATTACCCGTATTTACG